AAAAAAAAATCTATTTAACCTCAAATGTAAAAACATTTCGCCCACAAACGTAAATATTCCCTCAAACCTCAAATGCAATAACATGACAAACGCAAATGTAAAAACATTTCGCCCACAAACGTAAATATTCCCTCAAACCTCAAATGCAATAACATGACAAACGCAAATGTAAAAACATTTCGCCCACAAACGTAAATATTCCCTCAAACCTCAAATGCAATAACATGACAAACGCAAATGTAAAAACATTTCGCCCACAAACGTAAATATTCCCTCAAACCTCAAATGCAATAACATGACAAACGCAAATGTAAAAACATTTCGCCCACAAACGTAAATATTCCCTCAAACCTCAAATGCAATAACATGACAAACGCAAATGTAAAAACATTTCGCCCACAAACGTAAATATTCCCTCAAACCTCAAATGCAATAACATGACAAACGCAAATGTAAAAACATTTCGCCCACAAACGTAAATATTCCCTCAAACCTCAAATGCAATAACATGACAAACGCAAATGTAAAAACATTTCGCCCACAAACGTAAATATTCCCTCAAACCTCAAATGCAATAACATGACAAACGCAAATGTAAAAACATTTCGCCCACAAACGTAAATATTCCCTCAAACCTCAAATGCAATAACATGACAAACGCACATGTAAATATATATATATATATATATATACATATATATATATATATATATATATGTATATATGTCCAAAACTTAGTTTGTTAGCTGAAGAAGACCAGAGGACAGAGTAGAGTATTCGTTGAACTGCAAGATGGTATGGTATTATACAGACTAATATTCTAACATAGGCCTATTTGGTTTCTCTATACTTTGCAACCAATTCAGTTGGATATTATGTCTTTTTTTTGTAATATACCGACAGCGTGGATTAATGGAAGTATTTGTGATTTCAGATATTAACGAATGTCTCTCATCTCCATGTGTATATGGCATATGTAACGATCATGTAAATCAATATTCCTGCTCATGTAATGCTGGTTACTCCGGAACTAACTGCCAAACAGGTAAAAGATCACAAATCAATATACGTATCTACATGTACCTTCGTCTCACTAATTAATCAATTAATTACAATTATTATTAATTCAGATCTACATGGTACGCGTAAAGTTCGACCACCCCGAGCGTTGAACGACGCTATATTGTGCTTACTACCCAACTCCATAATCATACTATAGCCTGCATTTCATTATAGTTTTGTTTTTAAATTAACGATAGTATTACTTATAATAATGTTAGAATTATCATTACTATTATAACTATAAATATTAATATCAATATATTCTTCTGTTGTAATATGTTTATTTGTCTTTGTTATTTGTGTGACTGTACTATTGTGATGCATGGGGTTCCTGAATAATGACTGATTTTATGCCTACCATTGTTTTCCAGAATTATTGAGGCTTGGCTTGCGCTTCATAACCGCAAGGTAAAGAGCGCAATATAATTACCAAATACCAGTACCAGTACCAATACAATGGTAGGCAGCCACTTCCCAACAAAATACGGATACTCCCCTACAGAAACATAGGCCTTTTTAAAACTGTTTACTAGGTCTGTTTCTGCTTCCTTATAAGTTTGTGGTATAATTTTGGCCTAAGTAAAAAACCTGTTTCTCTCCCTGGGTTTTCACTCACCAATGATCCACAACGCATTTTAAAACAAATAGGTCAACTTTTTGTTTTGGTTACGATACATCGATCTGTTGTCGGTTCATTGATCGTTTATTCGTTCAATATTGAACATTTAGCTGTCTTGCTTTAATTAATCTACTTCATGTGATAAATTTGCTTGATTAATTGTTACTGGATCAATCGCCTTCGTGTGTTTTTGTAAGTTTATACTTTCATTATAGAATCAAACTCCGAGATGACACACTCATAAATGGAAGGCATACGTAGTTTTATATTTATTTATTTTATTTATTTATTGACACTTCACCATTGGAACGGTGGCACATATAACTCTTGTGGTGCGGTCTAACAACAATAACGGCTAAGATGCAAAAGTAACAACCAATACAAAAACAAATCATATAAAGAAAAGCAAATTAACCAGGAATGCAAAAAAAAAAAAAGGAAAGCCAGTAGCTTAACTCAAACAGTTTTTAACTAGAGTATGGGCTTAAATTTTGGGAATGTAAACTAATGGTACAGAATCAAAACGTAAAAAAAGAAAATAAAATCAAAATTAAAACAGGAATTACAAAAATCAAGTGAAAATAAGAAAAAGCACCAAAAGCATGAACATATGTGTGTGTATCCATCCACCCATATACACATGCACATACACACCCATACACTCACATATGCATACACATGTACACATACACACATATACCCACATATTTTCGCACATACTTGCATAATATACATACTGTATAAACTCATAAAGAAAACAAAAATTTAAAGCAACAATACATTAGGTTTAAACCATTTTCAAAATTAACCCAGAGTCTTTTTTTTTTTTAATTCTGAGCGTTTTTCCCAGACATTTATTGCATGTTTTTTACAGTAACTATCAAAAATAAAAGCAGAATCATCAAAAAAGAAACCGAATCTGCTCTTAAAATATACAATGATTTATCATCAGCAATTGATGATGTAAAAAATGTCCATGTATCAGAAAAAATCACAGAGTGTAAGTTTACTTCTTAAATTTGTTAGTTCTTCGTTTCTAATGTTGTCAAATGCCGTACATTTTAATAAGAAATGCTTTACATCTTCAATTTATCCATTGTCACAAAGGGTACAAACTCCTGAGACGTTGGTGGACCATTTATATGTTTTACAATCAAGGGGTAGCGTGTTAGATCTTAGTTTGAATTTTAAGCTTGCCCCATAGAAATTACCTTTGTCCAGTAAGTATTGTTGTAATTTGGGAGAAGATTGAAGTTTTGAATAATTGTGTAATGAGATTTTTTGTAGTTAATTTGTCAGACCACTCTGCTTTATACCACTATGGCCACTTCTTGTAGTTGTGATAAGGGGGCCCATATCATTTATATGTGTTATGTTTTATTATACTAACATCAGTTTATTCATTCTCTTATTTCAGACATAGATGAATGCTCGTCATCCCCTTGTAACTTTGGTCAATGCAATGACCAGGTGAATTCGTACACCTGTACTTGTAACCCGGGTTATTCTGGAACATACTGTGACACAGGTAAAGGTTTCCTTCTGTCCATCAATCTATCAATCAATCAATCAATCAATCAATCAATCTACGAACCATTCGCAAAACATTCATAAATTACACATTCTTTCGAAGTTTTCTAGGCTCTGACGCCCTCACCACTATGACACCTGCGAAATAAACTAATGATTTGATCTCAGATCAATTGGTGAAACGGTGTGGTGGAGAGTGGCTTTCTATCTCTGTTAGCCCCTGATTTGCTTTTATTTTATTGGTCTTTAATCTCGTTGTGTTGTGACCTGAAGCCATAATACCATACTAGGCATGCTAGTCACTGGTAGCCAAATATTCTGTCAAATAATGGCTAATAATAATAATAATGAAAATAATAATAATAATAATAATAATAATAATAATAATAATAATAATAATAATAATATTAATAATAATAATAATAGTAATAATAATAATAATAATAATAATAATAATAATAATAATAATAATAATAATTTATAAACTGGATTGAACGTGTGGCTTTTGTCGTCAGTCACAGAGACCAAACTGTGTGAGTACTGTATGCGTTTACTAAAACAATTAACTTTGGTAATATAAAAAATAAAGGATGTAACAAGAGACTATTATTTTTTAAATGAAATACTTACAATGATGGTAAGAGGTGCTATTAATGATTGAGTGAATGTTATTTATTGTTTGATAATCCTTAGATATAAACGAGTGCGATTCCTCTCCCTGCATACATGGCGTTTGTAATGACGAAACGAACCGATACTCGTGCACATGTAACGCTGGCTACAGTGGAACGAACTGTGAAACAGGTAACGTTCACAATCCGATAAAAATATTAAATACCATATTATGTTTGCTTAAAAACAAGTAAATACTCCACGAAACATTATAATATAGCTAATAATATTTTAGCTGTTTTAAACCCCTGGCCTTGTCTCAGCGTCTTTCTTTATTATATATAAACGTCAACTTGGTATGTAAAGGCATATGTATGGCTTTTGTTTTATCATACTATAACATAAAGTTATTCACTTTATTATTTCATATTTCAGACATTGATGAATGTTCGTCATCCCCTTGTAATTTTGGCCAATGCAATGACCAGGTGAATTCGTACATCTGTACTTGTAACCCAGGTTATTCTGGAACATACTGTGACACAGGTAAACTTTTCCTTCTGTCCATCAATCGATCATTCCATCCGTTATTACATCTATATATGTACATATGTACATATAATTTATTGTAAATTGATTTTATTCACAGACCCACCAACTGTGTGCTAGCCTACTAATAAGGGAATTTAGAAGACATAATAAAGCTAAATAATTTCAGCTAAACTATTTCTTTTTGTAAACACGTCTGATACGGAATGACAATTTTGGTAAAGACGTCTGGTTTTAAGTCATTATTATTTTTTTAAATAATTACATATTTTCTAGATATAAACGAATGTGCTTCTTCCCCCTGTATACATGGCGTGTGTAATGACGAAACGAACCAATACTCGTGCACATGTAACCCGGGCTACAGTGGAACGAACTGTGAAACAGGTAAGGTTCACATGCTTATAAAAAAAGAAAAAAAAATAATAATTCAGCATTATGTTTGCGTGTAACAATAAATCAGGCCACGTCATATATAAACGTATTACGGTTCATTATAACAGTCTTACGATAAAAGCCAAGTAATAGAAATTTTGTAGAAGGTGTAATTTCACAATGAAATATTTATAACAAACTAATAAAACTTTCGATATACCATTAAATGGTGTATTTACCTCAAAACAATATTTTTACAAATTTTGTAAAATTATTGTTTTGAGGTAAATACAGGGGTTTTACCGCAAAAAACATTTTTTACACTTGGTGTACCTAAGGTTTAATAATTTTGTTATTAAGACTCGCCCTGCAAACCGTCAGGAAAGAAAATGCTTGTAATGTTACTCAAACATACCTGATTAATGTGTGACACAGTTATTTTCTTCAATAACCACCACCAATACTTTAAAAACCTCACGATTTTCTATATATATTTTATAATAATATAGAGAAGAAATATTAATGTTAATTACAAGTAATATGAGAATATTATCATTATAATATATATATATATATATATATATA